TAATTTTCTTGAAGAGATCTCTAGTCTTTCCTAATCTATTGTTTTCCTCTATTTCTTTGCACTGATGGCTGAGGAAGGCTTTCTTATTTCTCCTTGCTATTCTTTGGAACTCTGCATTCAAATGGGTGTATCTTTCCTTTTCTCCTTTGCTTTTCACTTCTCTTCTTTTCACAGCTATGTGTAAGGCCTCCTCTTAAGGAGGCAACAAACTCAGGGATCTACTGTGCAGTAAAAAATAAAGCAGCCACAGCACTAACAGTCATGGTTCAGGTCTACGTTAAGTGCTGTGGCTGATATAAATGACCTAAGGGATGGTCTTCCTACTCCAGAAGCTAAACAAGATAAAGAGGATGAAACACTACACACTCATCATATAAATCACCAACGAGAAGTTTAAGTAAATAAAGAAATACTTGTATGGTGCCTGACAGGGTTTCATACACAATTTTATCTAATTTAATTCTTCTGACAATCCTGTGAAGTAAGGAAGGCAACATATCATCTTCATTTAGGTAAGTAAATCAAGCCTCAACATGGTTAAGTCTTGCCCACATCATTTAATTAACAGGATGGCTTCAAATTCTAACATACTGATCTTTAAACTGCTGTACCCATCACCACAAAGAGTATATAATTCCTCCTTATTTGAAATTCAAGAACATTTGAATTTACTCCCAAAAACCTTTTTGGCTCTTTCAAGCATCTTGCTCTCTATATACATGAGTACCAAGTAACTTCTGTTGGTGATAAAGGAAGAAAAGCAGGGAGAACCAAAACAAATCAAGCATTCAACAAGATTTACTGAGTATCTACTATGAGCCTGACTGTCAGGTGCCCACTTGAAATAACAATAGGAATTGACACTAGGAAAATCCCTGTCCTCACAGAACCTTCTTTTCTTGAAGGAAAGAAGGAAATTTTAAAAATTACCAATGAGATGAATTATGAAGGGGGAAGCAGATGGCACTGCAGAAGGGCACAGAAGGGTACAAAAACAAAGATGAAGCAAAGTAGATGACCTGAATCAAGCAGTTACATTATAGTAAAAATAAGGGAAGTGCACCTGGGCTTTAGAGCACACCATAGTGAGAGGAAGGAGAGTGAGAGATGGTGAAATGGAGCTGACAGAGGGAACCCCTAGGGAGCATGGTGGGGGTGGTGGATGCACCAGTATATCTGTTAAGCATAAAATCAGAAAGATTTTAAACATTTGGATAGAATAGATCCCCTACCCCACCAAAAGCAGTTAGCAAGCATACTTTCCACATCAAGGCAAAAGGAATTCACAAGATTTGAAACTGCAGAGGACAGAACTTCTGAATCAGTGATATGGAAAGTTTATTATTCAGTAGTTCAACACACAGTTACTGAGCACTAATTGTGTGACAGGTAATGTCATAGGCACTGGGATACAGCAGAAAACAAAATGTTAACGTGATTAAAATATCACTGGTGGGGTCCTGGTTGAAATGTACAGTCCCTACTGTTTCATTAGAATGATATAAGCTGAAGGGGTGGTTTTAAGTTTACTTTTGAACTTGGTTCCTCCTACAGCCTATTTTTGCCATCTTAAACCCCGCAAATCTGAATTTTATCTGGATTTAAAAAACTTAACCTTGGATGTTGGGGATAATTACTGTATAAATAGACACAAAACTGTATAGTATAGTGCTGACTATATGTTCTATACCTTGAAAGAAAAAGATTAAGGATGGCCAAGAAAGACTGGAAAAGATAAACTAAGTTAAAAATATATTACTTACTCAGATGAAAGCATTTAAGACAGATAATCTGTAAAAGACATATTTCCACATGTAATGAAAAGCCGACTGCAAACATCTCTCTGATATCGTCTATAATCTATATGGCTGCCTGAAAGTTATCTGCATCATGCATTGTATTAAGCATGTGGGGGAAAATCAGTAAAAGTAAAAATCCCATTGTAAAGATTTTTAGAATACTCACTGAATGGAAAATTAAGTACCATTAAATACTTATCTAGAGCAAGTGATCTTATATTGGTCAGTTTCTTCAAAGAAGAGCTAATATACCTACATGAGAACTTAATACTTCAATATTGGATACAATGAGCTCAGAATAGTTTCTCCCATAAGCTCTATCTTCATAAATGTTAGCTTATATTAAAAATACTTCGTACCAATTTATTTGGAAAAGCAGTATACACACACACACTACTAGACTGTTATATTTATCCTCTTTCATTATAAACAGTCTAAGACAGTATTTCTAATAAAGTCCTTAAAAATTTCTACCTGTGTTTCATGATTCCAAACGCACACGCTACCATTGTAAAGACTCGCCAACATCCATGGCTCTGTAGGATGCAAATCCACACTCTTAACTCGATCCGATCGAGCAGTAAGTTTTCTCTTGATATCAAGTCGCAGAGGCTAAGGAAAAACAACATGAAAAACAAGCAAACAAAATGTTACATTGGTATGTCAAATGAAACATGTTTGCAATCTTAAGTAAAAACAGTCCATTAACATGCCTACAAAACAATTCAGTTTTTACTCTGTGAAATTGTAGCCACAGTTTAAAGTCTAAAGCACCTACTTATACACTCTTACATACAAAAAATATGAGTATTTAAAAAACTTTAACTTACAGCAGCACTTGTCAAACTTTTTGGTTTATGGACACCTTTACAGTATTCATTTTTGAGGACATTAAAAAGCTTCTGTTTATGTGAAGGGTGAAAGGTCAAAGGGTTAGTTGCTCAGTTGTGTCCAACTCTTGTGACCCCATGGACTGTAGCCCACCAGGCTCCTCTGTCCATGGAATTCTCCATGCAAGAATACTGGAGTGGGTTGCCATTCCCTTCTCCAGGGGATCTTCCCAATTCAGGGATCGAACCCGAGTCTCCTGTATTGCAGGCAGTTTCTTTACTGTTTGAGCCACCTTATTAATGTAGATATTTATTAATATTTATCATGTTAAAAACTAAAACTGAGACTTTAAAATATTCATGTATTAATTCATTTTCAAAAACAAACTAAACCTATTCACATTAACTTAAATAAAATAACTACAGCTTCGAAAGAAATTTAGTGATAAGAGTAGCGATGTTCACAGTTTTGCAGAACTCTTTAAATTCTGACTTAACAGAAGACAGTTCATTTCTCACATCTGCTTCAGCCCTCAATATGTTGTGATATGTTGTTCTGGTTGGTATATGAGAAAAAAAACCAACAAACCTGGCTCATAGATACAGAAAACAATAGATTGTAGCTGCCAGAGGTGGAGTGTAAAAGAGGGAGAAATAGGTAGAGGGGGTCAAAAGGTACAAACTTCCAGTTATAAAGTAAATCATGGAGATGTAATGTACAGCAAAGCAGATAAAAGCAGTTAATAATACCGTGTTGCAGACGTACAGAACAGACTTTTGGACTCTATGGGAGAAGGCGAGGGTGGGATGTTTCGAGAGAACAGCATCGAAACATGTATATTATCTATGGTGAAACAGATCACCAGCCCAGGTTGGGTGCATGAGACAAGTGCTCGGGCCTGGTGCACTGGGAAGACCCAGAGGGATCGGGTAGAGAGGGAGGTGGGAGGGGGGGATCAGGATGGGGAATACATGTAAATCCATGGCTGATTCATGTCAATGTATGACAAAAACCACTACAATATTGTAAAGTAATTAGCCTCCAACTAATAAAAATAAATGAAAAAAAAAAATAATACCGTGTTGCATATTTGACAGCTGTAAGAGAGTAGATCTTAAATGTTCTCATTACAAGAAAAAAACACACAATTTTGTAACTACGTATGGTGACAAATGTTAACAGGACTTACTGTGGTGATTGTTTTACTATATATAAGTATCAAATCATTATACTAGACACCTAAAACTAAAATAATATCATGTCAATTATACCTTTACTATTTTTTTAGAGAATAGTAGATTTATTTTGACAATAGTGTTAATAGTAAATGCCAGATAATGTAATGTGGGATCAATAAGGGTTATTATATACAGGTCCATGAAGGGCTCTGGAGTCAAATGGGAATGTTTATAATATTTTAATGGATTTAAGTTATAATAACCAAATGGAAATTAGGAGAATTTTGAACCAAAGCTAAAATACTCTTTCTCATCATAAATACTAATAGGTTAAAAAGTGTTTTTCAACCTGGATTTGTCATCCAAACCACAGAAAAAAAATGATCTGAATAACTATTTTCTCAGTTCTTCCAAGGATGGCTTTTTAGGAGAAAAGTTAATTCATTATACACACTGACGGCTTATGGTAGTAGTCACAGTTCTCTCTTGGAAGCAGATATGAGGAAGACTGATTTAAAACATGTTTCTTCTTCAGCAGGTTTTAAACACAACCTAAGAGTTTACTTGGCAAGTTGAGTTACTATTAAGTTTTTATTTTTGCTATCTTCTGTGATGTTCATGAATGGGAGAGAAATTTAACATTACTTTTCTACACAAATGAAGACAGCAGAGGTAACTTCTTGAGACAAAGCAAACATCTCACAAGGTTCTTATTTATCATTTTGGACTTCTATCAAATCTGGGTCACTGACTACTTTGAACCTGGTTCTCACTTCTATAAAGGCCTCCCCTCCTTCTGGCAACAACCTCCACCTCTTACTTTCCTTTAAAAGATCTAAGTTCTCTGGCTCTTCACAATCGCCACAAAAATATCTTCTCCATCTCAAACGTTCTACTTTCAAACCATTATCTTCACATTCCTTCCTGAAGCAGGACTTTTCACTTCATCTATTTCTGAACCTTGCCCCATTAATTACCTTCACAAATATTAACTTTTTTTCTGGTCTCTCCATAGTTAGCAAACCTGATGTGTCTATTATATGCCAGGAATCATGGTGGAAGTTTACATAAGCCAGCATATCTCATACTTTTTCTCTAGCAAATGAGGAAATTGTACACTTTTAAACTATGCATATTTTACCATTAAAAAATGTTTTGAACGACTGATTACTGAGTAAAAGTGAAGGTGGCCCAAGGTACAAAGCAACACCAGCATAACAACATGCCCCTAATGCACAATCTCAGTTTTTAAAAGCACAGCCAAGGGCTCTTGCTGCATCTCTCCCAGAATGAGACATTGTACTAGGGACTGTGGAATACCAAGATGAGTAAGGTACTCATAAAAGTGAGTGAAAGTGGCTCAGTTGTGTTTGACTCTTTGCGACCCCATGGACTATACAGTCCATGGAACTCTCCAGGCCAGAATACTGGAGTGGGTAGCCTTTCCCTTCTCCAGGGAATCTTCCCAACCCAGGGATCAAACCCAGGTCTCCAACATTGTAGGCGGATTCTCTACCAGCTGAACCACAAGGAAAGCCCAAGAATACTGGAGTGGGTGAAAATGAAAGTGAAGTTACTCGGTTGTGTCGACTCTTTGCAACCCCAAGGACTGTCACCCACCAGGATCCTCCATCCATGGAATTTTCCACTGGAGTGGGTAGTCTTTCCCTTACTTCAGGGGATCTTCCCAAACCAGGAATCGAACCAGGATCTCCTGCATTGCAGGATGATTCTTTACCAACTGAGCTATCAGGGAAGATACTCACACTGCAGCCTTAACTCTAAACATCTCCTTGTATCTCCCCAAGGCTGAAGGCATTTAGGACTGAGCTTAACTGTTACCACCATCATATAATCTCTTGGATTATCCTACCAGAAGTATCCTTTCCTATAAGATCCTACAGAATTTAATGTTTAATATTTGTGCACATGTCTGTTTTTGGTTTCTAGAGTAGATGCTCCTAAAGAGATCATTCATGTGCAATATTCAGCACCTTATATATTTGGGTATGGGAGGCTTCCGTGGTGGCTCAGCACTTAGGAATCTGCCTGCCAATACAGGAGACATGGGTTCAATCCCTGAGCTGAGAAGNCACCTGCCAATACAGGAGACATGGGTTCAATCCCTGAGCTGAGAAGATCCCCTGGAGAAGGAAATGGCAATTAACTCCAGAATTCTTGCCTGGAAAATCCCATGGATAGAGGAGCCTCGGTGGGTCCATGGGGTCACAAGAGTTGGACGTGACTGAGCGACTAAACAACAACAAAAGAAGTTTAAGATAGTATAATCAAGATCTAAAGAATCATGATGGACTCAAGCTTCAGTTCCATCACTCATCTCAAATGCATGACAGTGGGCAAGTTTACTTAACTTCCCTCAGGTTTGATGTATATAAAACTATTGACTATTATCTATTCCTTAGTGTAATGAGAATTAAATTCAGTATTAAGCAGTAAGAACAATGCCTTGCCTATTTTAACCACTCCATGAACATTTATAACTTACTCTCCCACCTGCTATGAGAATTAGCAAGCAAATGTTTAGCAAAATCCATGGCACACAGTAAATACTCTATGGTAAACGAGTGAACAAAATCTTTTACAAAAGATTTTAAATGTGTTAAAGAATGAAATATTTAATCATAAAAATACTCTTAAAAGAAAACTAAATTAGGCAGATGCAAGGGGCTGTTTCCAAAAATGTCCATTTTGAAAACCACAGCACACTCCAGAGCAGGTCCTTGGTAATACAAGGTAGTAGAACTTAAGTTTTGCTTTGGGGCTCTTAACCTGGGGACCCAAGAAAGCTCATGAATGAGTATTGGTGGGTGACAGTATCTGTGAGTGAGTCCATTAAATTTTATGCAACGTTGTGTTTCTCTATGCATTTTTATGGAAATATTCATAACGTTCATAAGTTTTCCCAGGGAATCAACTTCTGTTGCAGTTAAAACTCTGCAGCAATTAGCCTTAAACTTTTTTTTTTTCCTCCCTTTTAACTGTAAGGTGAGGGACCTGGACTTATTAATCCCTAAGGTCTTCAAGCTCCAAAATCTCTGAATCTGTGCTGCCTAACAAGTTAAAAAAAAAAGCAAGAAAATGTTTAAATACAAAATACATAATCCCTTACATGCTTTTGCAAAGAAATTCTCACACTATCGTACTGTTTTTCTTACTAGTATAACAAGTGCAAAAATATTTTAGCGCATATTTGGGGGTGATAATAAAAAAATGGTGTGATGATTTGTCATTTGTCAAAAATGCTCTGTGACTGTCATTCTTCAGTTCAGTCGCTCAGTCGTCTCCGACTCTTTGCAACCCCATAGACTGCAGCACGCTGGGCCTCCCTGTCCATCGCCAACTCCCGGAATTTACTCCAACTCATGTCCATTGAGTCGGTGATGCCATCCAACCATCTCAACCTCTGCGTTCCCTTCTCCTCCTGACTTCAATCTTTCCCAGCATCAGGATCTTTTCAGGGTCATTCTTCAGTCAGTATATTTGCAAATGCAGACAAGCACGCCAACCAGTTTTATAAACTACGTCCCAACTCTAAGCTTCTCCCTTGACACTTAAGCTGGGGTTCCAAAGCATCTGAAATTCCACTTTTGACTCTATAGGATCCATTCACATTTCGAAAGGCGGGGGAGTGGGGGGCGCCTGCCTGTTTAAGTTCGTACTTTGCGGTCATACTATACCAAAACAAGCACAAGAGTGCAAAATCAGCTGTCACCGTTTTAAAGGCACAATGAGGTAGTTTCATCAAAACCTTCTACAGAATTCAACATTTTCGGCCTCTTATATTTCCCTACACTAAGGACCCCACTGCAGACCGCAGAAGCTCTAGCAAACACCGTAAGCACCGAAGTCAGGGACCCTCCAAGCATTGCCTCCCCACACGACCTGCCGCCTCTTCCCTTCCAGAATTCAAACTGGACCAGGACCCCTCAAGGCCTGAGGCGGTGGCCGCAGCGGGAACCCAGGCCGCGGACAACTGCGGGTCTCAGGCCAGGAGCCACAAGAACTGGCCCTGGCCACATGGGACCCCACTGCCTCCTGCAAGGCCTGGACTTACCATGGCTCCGACGGTCCGAGGCCTGGCGCCCTCACTCGCTACAGACCAAGCGGTCCTAGAGAAACCCACCGACCCGCTGACCAGACGACTGACTGACGTGGAACTTCCGGGAGGAGTTCTCGCGATAGTAAAGACCAGAGAGCGAGCGCCTGCGCAAAGCCGGCGCCGGGCTGGTTTCCTAAGCCCCGCCCCAATTTCCTAGGCAACAGGGCCTCCAAACTGCCCCAAGCGGACCTGGCCGCTCCGGAGAAGGCGGGGTGTGGCCTCTAGAATCCTTTGCAGTGCTCTGGGGCTGCTGAGAGTGGAGTAGAAACAAACCGAGAATTAAAAACTTGAAGAAAAAGCGAAATGCTACTTTCGAGTGCTAACGGCCGGAGAAACCCCTCCACAGCGGAGTTGTGTCACAGGAGCTGAGAAGTGCTGTCAGAGGGAGAGGGCGGAGGAGAGAAGGGAAGATGAAGCGAGGCTCTCGCTTCGGAGATCGGAGGGCAGCGAAGAGTCTTCAGCTCTGGAGCTCCCCAGGAGATAGGAGTATCAGGCCCTGCAGGATCTCCTTTTATTGAGCATCGACCGCATTATTCATTCATTTATGATTATATATCAATCTTCTGCTATGTGCCAGAATAATTTCCTCTCTAATCTTCACATCAAATCTGAATTATCTCCATGTTACTGATGAGGAACTCAGTTCTGTCAGTTCAGTTGCCCTGTCCTGCCTGACTATGTGATCCCATGGACTGCAGCACACCAGGCTTCCCTGTCATCACCTACTCCCGGAGCTTGCTCAAACTCATGTCCATCAAGTCGGTGATGCCATCTAACCATCTCATCCTGTCGTCCCCTTCTCCTCCTGCCTTCTATCTTTTCCAGCATCAGGGTCTTTTCCAATGAGTCAGCTCTTCACATCAGGTGGCCAAAGTATTAAGAGTTTCAGCTTCAGCATCAGCCCTTCCAATGAATATTCAGGACTGATTTCTTTTAGGATTGACTGGTTTGATCTTACAGTCCAAGGGACTCTCAAGAGTCTTCTCCAACACCACAGTTCAAAAGCATCAGTTCTTTGGTGCTCAGTTTTCTTTATGGTCCAATCTCACATCCATACATGACTACTAGAAAAACCATAGCTTTGACTATATGGACCTTTGTTGGCAAAGTAATGTCTGCTTTTTAATATGCTGTCTAGGTTGGTCATAGCTTGTCTTCCAAGGAGCAAGCATCTTCGAATTTCAGGAAACCAATGAGGAAACTAAGGTTCAAAGAAGTATCCTAGCCAGGGCCACACAGTAAATTATAGAGTCAGGATTTGATACGTCCTCAAAGTCGTGTGCTCTTTCTCCTTCACTGAAATACATCTTCATTAAAGTAGTTGAACTCTAGCATGGGGACCTGAGCCATAGGGATTGCAAAATGAACTGCTAGAGCATTTGCCTACCACCACCTTCTGAGTTCCCACTTTTTAAAATAAATTTAGTTTTTAATTTTCTAAACACAGTGGACCAAATAACTTTGACCTTTTGCTACATATAAATGTGTAGCAAAGGTGTGAAAGTAGCCTTGGAGGTTTTGTAGACCTTTAAATTATCAGAAAGGAAAAAAGTGTGTGTGTGTGTGTGTGTAGAAAGTAATATTCAGAGGGAGACATATAGACTGTGTATCAAGTAATTTGGCTTTTAGCAGGAGCTTTATTGCTAATGTAACTTCTTTGTGCATCTTAGTTTTCCTCATCTTAAAAAAAAAGTTTGTACATCATTAGGCACCCAAGAGTTTACCTAGTTGGTATTGATGAGGGGCTTAGTCCCCAAGTATCATACTCACTTGGACTATATATTTTCCATTCAGTTCTGTAGTTGTGCATTATACATTATTACATGTAATGTACATACTGAATTTGTTCTATATCCAAAGGACTGTACTAGATGCTGCCTGAAGATTATACCTCTTGGATTTGGATTGAAAGAAATTTCATTTTAAAGAAATAAGATTCTAAAATATGAACTAATATGTAAAATTACATTGTGTGTGTGTGTATCCCTGTATGTTCAATTGTGGGTTTAAAAATAAAGAGTAAAACCATTTACTCTTTGGTTTAGAGAAGACTAGGAGGTTAGAAAATAACTCTGGGGAAGAAAGTAAATAGGAACAAGCTTAGCAAATTGATAAAGGGTTTCCCAAAGATTGGTCACAACTGGATTTCTAGGGTGACTTTTCAATTCTTCTTTTTTCCAAGTGGAAGCTCACTTGTGCTTCTATTAATACCCTACAAACATCCTTTCCTCCCTATTCTGTTCCCACCCCTTCATTAAAAGATGAGGAAGTAAGAATAATTCCTTGAGGAAAAATCTAGTTGGTATTTTTAAAATATATACATATCTCATCACTTAGCAAAGTGGTGAGTAGGAGAATAAGAGCCTCGTTTCTCCCTTCAAAGGGAGTACAATTTAAGAGACTTCCGTGAAGGTCCAGCAGTTAAGACTCTGCACTTCCAATGCAGGGACGAAGGGTCTGAATCCTGGTCAGGGAACTGAGATATCCTGCATGCTGTCTGGCCAAACTAAAAGGGATTACAAATTTGTAAGAAGTACGAGTAAAAATAATGAGCATAAAATATCCAACTGGGGAGATAATTTTCATAAAGGAGGCAGAATTTGAGCTGGACTTTTGGACCACAAAAAGTCTAGTTTGCTTGGAGAATGGTATTCATTTAGAAGTGCATGAGGCAGATGGCTAGAAAGAAAGGATGGTGCTAAAATCTGAAATTTTACTGAAATAGGAATTGGACTTTGATTCAGTAAGAAATTGGGAACAATTAAGCCAGAAAAGAAACATGTTTATGTATGTACTCTGTAAGATTTATCTTTCATTGATGTGTATGAAGAAATGGATTGGAACAGTGAGATACTATACAAGTTTGGAGGAAGTGGGTATGGAAATAACAGTAATATTGAATCGATTTCATTGAGTGCTTACTTTTGTAATTGAAATATGCACTTTGCATGCTACAATTCATATAGTAATACTAACATATAGTCATTATTTTCTTAAATTTATAGCTTCACAGGCAGGTTCTTTACTGTCTGAGCCATCAGGGAAGCCCAGTAGATGAGACTGAAGTGGGTCAGCATGCCCTCCTCCAGGGGATCTTCCCGGCTCAGGGATCAAACCCATTCTCTTATGTCTGGCAGGCAGTTCTTCACCACTAATGCTACCTGGGTAGCTCCCAATACACAAGATGATGAAGCCCAAATGGGTTAAATAATAAGCTCTGTGCCACACTGCTCAAGAGCTGGTGACATACTTGAGATCTGAACCCAAGTTTATTTCCAAAATGACTGCTCTTTCTCAGTAGAAAAACTATGAGTTTTTCCTTTTTCACTAAAAAGGTAGAATCAACAAGATACAGAAATGATTTGACTTTGTTTTGGAGTTAAGGGATTGGGAGATATTCTAATGCTAATATTTTGAATCTAGTGAACCAAGAGGAATATCTTTAATTAGAAGAAGAAGTGGAGCCAGAGAATGACACAGAAAAGGCACAATTAGAATAAGACAACAAGAAAAACTGAAGGAAAGGGAGGTATAATATAGTAGGGTGACTCACAATCATTTAGTTCATTGACAGTAGTCTAGACGGCTTTAGAGAATTTAATAAAACTTGGTTTTGGGGGGAAAAAACTATTGTCAGTGAACTAAATGATTATGAGGACACTAGTAGCCTTAAAAATTTCTTTTCAGTCAAGTAATGCTAGGGGGAATAGGTTTGCAAAGGATTAAGAAATGATTGGATGATAAAGCAGTGAAAGTGGTGAGTATAAAATATTTTACCAAAAGTTTAGATTTGGTATGTCATGGTATTGTCATGAAAAGACAAATGTTGATGTCTCACTGAAAGTGGAAATAATTTTTCCTGTATTTGGGGTGTAGTTGACATTAATTACCTCATGATAACTACTCCACATGGATGGAGTAAACTTTTGCGGTATTGAGTAGGAGCTAGCAAGACAAATGTCAAGAGGGTATATGTAGGGCATTTTAAGTGGAAAGACTTGAGAGTTCAATTTTTCCAGAGAGCTAAAAGTAGTTTAGCATGCTTGGGCCAAAGAGTAAGAAGGGAGAGGATTGAGAAATGGGACTAGGAAGATAGATGAAGCTCAGATCCTGAAAGTCCATGACTGCCAGTGTAAGAAGTCTGGACTTTACCTTGAAGGCTCTAGGGAACCATTGAAGAATGTCAAGTAGGATAATCTTCATGCTCTATTACTGATTCATCATTGCATGTCAGTTACTTTCCCTATTAAAGGAAATGTTAAGGTTCTCAGGTGGATTTCTTCATGAAGTGAATGAGAGTCTTGACCACATAATCGCATACTAACCAGCAGGAGACTAAATTGAGTTGGAGAACCACTGAGTTGTCTTCTAAGAACAATGAAACTTAGGGTTGCCTGACACTAGAGGCAAAGTTTTGACTGATCGCAAAAGCATTGTTCGACTACAATGTGCTATACACTTAGTATGATTACCTTCCAAAATTTTAAAACTTATTAAATTTACTCCATGCAAGCTTGTTGTGGGATTTGAGGTAAATGGAATGCTTGCTTTTGTTTACCTGAAAGCATAACTATCCAGATCGTTAGTTATATTTTGATACAAGTATAACTTTACCTTCTTAAAAATTGCATTAACCTCATATCTTTTAGATTTCCCTGGTGGCTCAGATGGTAAAGTGTCTGCCTGCAATGTGGAAGACCTGGGTTTGAACCTTGGGTTGGGAAGATCCTCTGGAGAAGGAAATGGCAATCCACTCCAGTACTCTTGTCTGGAAAATCCCATGGACATAGGAGCCTGGTAGGCTACAGTCCATGGGGTCGCAAAATGTCGGACACAACTAAGCGAGTTCACTTTCAATTTTCACTTTCATATCTTTTTAATAAACATATTTAGAGGAGGCAGAGTTTAAAGTGAGCTTTGAATGAATAAGGGGGTGATTTCATAGGTGGGAATTGCCAGACATTGAAAATATGGGAACAGAGTTTTGGGAGTTTGTCATTTAGTGACCTGCACAGCGGTCCACACGCTAGGCTTTCTATCAGTTCTTCATATGTGGGGT